AATTCACCAGAGCCAGAGCAGGGAGCAGAGCAGGCAGAAGGACCGAAGTACACTGCTGAGGGAGCAGCGGGCAGGAGAGGTCTGCGCGCCATGTGGGACCCTCCTCCGGTGGCCGGGGAGCAGCCGGGGATCGAACCGGCGCCGCAGAGGCCGCGCGCAGCTTCGCAACCCAGCGCTCAACCGCTGCGCCACCGGGGAAGCCCAGATGTACTTTTTAATGGAGCCTGATACTTGACCATGTGCTCAAAGTGGAGGATCTGGAAGGCAACCTGTAGAGATGAGGAGCCCTGAAGTTCAAGCTCCATTAGTATAACAATAAATTCACCTGTGAAGTGGGCCTCGGGGGAGGTGAGGATGGTCCTCAAAGTGAAGTAAGGGAAAAGGGTCTGGCTTTCCAGGCAGCAGGGCCTGCATGGGCAAGGGAGTAGGGACGTGCATATTCTATCAGGAGTGTCTGAGGAGCTTGGTGTGGCTGGAGTGCAGGATTATGGGGAGAGGAGGGAGAAAAATCACTGAAGCTACAGCTTCAGGGAGTAGAAAGCAGGGACATGTTGAAGGAGATCTTTATGGGTGGGGAGCTCCAATATTTAAGTTTTGTGGGTATCACAATAAATCCAGGGACAGGTGCCAAGAGTCCTGCCCCAGGACAATGACCTTTACAGGGGCAACATTTTAAGAGAATGATTTTAAGAGGCCAGCCGTCTTGTATAAACAGAACTGCTGAGAGACAACTGCAATGTTTGAGGCCTCAAGGCTCACAGCCTCCACCGAGGGAGTCCTGTGTTCTTTTGGGGGAAAGGGCAGTGCTAGGCCACTTTGCCCCCCCTCAAAGCCCCACTGCCATCCACACACTGGCTCTTCCTACCCACCAGACCAACCTCTTAAACTCTGTATATTGAACACCGAACTATTTTTCCTTCCCCTCCAATCTTGCCTCTGCTCTGGGGGCCACAACTCTGAGAGGCATCCTCACTGAGTCACCCGGCCCAGATTCCTACACAGGAGTCCTCCTCCTGGCTTGCTCGCCACTTTGGATCAATAGCAGAGTCTAGATCCCAGCATTCTTGAAGTCAACCTCTTTTCTCCACTGATCATTTTTTGGCACTACTATCTCACAGCTCTTCCTCAGAGGGGTCTGACCTGCCTCTAAGGATAGATCTTACCAAGTGCTGTTGCCAAAGGTGCTCTGTACTCTCTGAAACCAGGACAACTTTCCCAGTTGCCAAGGTCTCCACAAGCTGACCTCTGACCTCTGTCCAAAATCCCAAAGATCTCTCACTCCCTACCAACTACCTCAGGACTTAGCTATTACCTCTTGATGACCCTACTCACTTCACTCTGGGTGGGGTGTCTCCCATAGCCTGTGACACCACAGACGATTTGTAAGCAGAACTCGTTCTAGTCACTCAATTCCTCTGAGTTGTCTACTCCTCTGTGAGATGGGACCCTAGTCTCACCAGAGGAAGAGAATTGTAATAATGAATGCCTAAGAGTAACTGAGCTAAGCGTTTTACACATTATTTCATTTAATCCTCACAGCACCAGAGCAGCAGATGCTACTATTAGCCCCATTTAATTGGGGAGGATACTGAGGGGCAGTGCCTTGCCTAATTTGCCTACCCTGGCAGACGTCCCTGACTCCTGGGGCACTGGGCAGTGCATCCTTATGGCCTGTATCCTTGCTGCCCTGCCCCTAACACACTGCAAGTTCTTAGAGGGTGAGGACAGCACCTGTCTTGCACACTTGTGTATCCTAGAACATATAATAAGTGTTTAGTAAATATTTACTGACGGAAGTAATCTTTGAATGTATAAACCCAGCCACTGACAAAGCCTGGGCCCAGCTCCTGCCTCTTTCTCACCCACTGAGCAGGACACTGGGCAGACCTTGCTTAGTACACAAAGTAGCACACAGTAGGTACTCAAGATGGTGTAGTTGCTGCTCTTGTTATAAGAAAGAGGAGAAGGTAGAAGATAATTAAAATAATTACTTGAATTATTCAGTATTACATAAAGTAGTGTATAATAGAAATTACATCATATATGGTATTTAATCATTTAATTAATTAAAATTTGTTTCATTACGTAAATGAATTTTAAATGACTGTTACTTCAGGAGCGAGTCTGTCTCCCCAACAGTCGGAGCTCCCCTATGGGATCCAGATCTGTGTCCTCCCAATGTCCAGGCCGTCAGCAGACTTAAAGGAGGGCTTAGGGATCAGCACGGACAGTAGCGGTCAGGAAGGGAACTCCTGCCCTGCTCTCCCTTCCCGCAGAAAAGAGCTGCTGCTCCTGCTGCTGTCTGCCAGACGGAGGTGTGGGAAACCCAAGCTCCATCCCAGCTCAAATACCAGCCGATTTCGGGTCCCAGGCCCTCGCTGGCTGCCGAAGCTCCCCAAACCAGACACCTACTCACATGTCCCCGCCTTTCTGATTTGGGCTCCTCAGAGCCTGCACGTGGGACCCTGGGTGGGTCACTGCGGATCTGCGCCTCAGTCTTCCTCATGGGATGGTGGGCAGTGGGGTGGGCTGCTCGGTTGGGCGGAGGATTCTGCTAGGCGCCAAGGTTGTGGACACACGCTCTAGACTTCCATCCCCTAGTCTGGGCAGCTGACACACGCAGGGATGAAGGAGAGAATCTGAGCATCCCGCTACTCCACCCCCTTGAACTTCCGCAGCTAACGAACCTCTCTGGGCTCTATAGAAAAATCTGGAAGCTGGAGCTGAGGCCGCCACCTCTCTGGGCCCCAGAGGCAAGCGGCTTCTCACCAGGACTCTAGTGTACACTGGAGGGGGGTTTCAGCAGAACCCCTGTCATCAGTCACCAGAGACCACTCCATGAGAGGAGGAGCAGCAAACCCACTGTGACAGAGGAGAGAAGGCGAGCAGACAGGAAAGGGGATCAGAGGAGAGGAGGCCCAGGGTCCCCACTAGTTGTACAAGTCCCTGAACCACTCTGAACCTGTTTCCTCCTTGATAATAAACATTCTCCCTGGTTTGCTGTGAAGATAAACTAAAATAATCTTGGAATCTATGAACTCCAGAACTTCTTGACAGTGGGTACAGTGTCCACAGGTCCACTCCTGTGGGGTCCGACTTCTGCACCAGGAACCAAAGAGTTTTGGGGGGCCCTGTGTAGGCCCCTCCTGAAACCAAGAGACCCAACTCATTCTTAGCTCCACTTTGGTGGGCATGAGGCAGAGACCCAGGAGTGCTGGCTGCAACCTGCCTAGCAGGAGAAGCCCCCCCGAAAACCTGGAGTGGTTGAAGGACACCAGAGGCTTGAGAGCACGGGCCCCAAGAAGGGAAAGCGAGTTCACACTTCTAGAAGCTTCCGCCCAGCTTTCTCCTGCCTTGCTCTTTTAGGTAACTCTTCCCTCTGTCTTCACCCCCTTTCCTGCCCCATCTCTTTCTCTCTTGCCCCCAGATCCTCTTGCTTCTTCTCCCCCCGACTTCCATCTAGTCTTAGTCACCCTCGCACTTGATAACCAAACACCCAAACCTCTTTCCAATTAAAGTGGAATTAGGCAACTCAATCAAATTAGTTCCTTATTAAAGCCCTTCTTTATTAAACCGTTTTCTTGTCCTGCTATTAAGTTTCACCGCCTGGCGGAACTCGAGCCGGCCCCAGAAGTTTACCTTGGGATGCCGCGGGCGCAGTCTAGGGGTGGAGGCTCCCAATTTCCCGAAAGAGGGGGAGTCGCCGTGCAGGGAGCAGCAGAGACCGCGTGTGGCTGAAGGAGGGGTTCCTCCCGGGGGCGGCTAATTTACTCTGCTCGGCGTGGAGAGGGGAGGTCTGGGGGCGCGTGGTGCGATCTGGCTGGACGGCGCTTCCGCACGGCCACTGTCCACCCTCGGGTGACTGCCCAGACCCAGGACAGGATTCCCGCCACCCCCCACCGTCCCGAAATAACTCCCAGGCCGCCGCCCCGGGTGCGAGAACGGCCGCTCCCTTCCCTCCACACCGCTGCCGCTTTCCAAACCACTCCGAAAAAGGAGGCGCTCGGTGCGCTACCCGCGCCGAGCCCAAACCTGGACCAGGGGCAAAAAGGACCCGGCCGCCAGCCTCCAGGATTCTGGAGAATCCTCGGCCCGAGGTCCGGAGGCCGAGAGCACCGTCGAGGGGACCCCGCCGCGGTCCCCGTGCCGCAGCCGGCCGGGAGGGGGGCGCCGGGCGCCAGGGCGCAGCGCGCGGCTCCGGCCCGAGTTCGGCTCGCCCGGCCTCCAAGGCACCCCTGGACGTCTCCTCGCCCCGCGCCCTGGCAGGTCGGGGCACCTGGCGACCCCACGCAAGCTTCTTCCTGGCACCAAGGCCCGAGTAGGAAATGAAGAACTTTCCAACCCCAAATCCTGAGAAGCGGGAGGGGGTGCGTGTTTTCTTAGAAAATAACATTTATTTCTAGCTCATGTCTATGCAAAGGAAAGCACAAAGTGAGCCATTCTCTGCAGCTGCGGTCGCCGCTGCCGGCCCTGCGGCGTTTCGCGAGTCCCGGGAGGCGGGGATCGGCCCTCAGGCGGGCGGTTCTGGCTCAGTCACACGTCGCTCTGCTCCTGCTTCAGGGCGCACCTGGACGGCTCCTTACAGAGAGGCCGGCTGCAGGCAAGAGGGGCGGGTGGGCAGGATTCGTCCCGAGTTTGCGATATATTTCATCTCTAAAACCTGATAAGTACAATGCGCGCATAGTCTAATTTTTTTCCATTTTATCTTTTTTTATCCTTGCTTTTGAATATTTTCCACGTTAATACGGAGGTCACCTACAGATTACAATTAATAACTTAGAATTCCATTTTATAACATTATACACTGGCTTGTATATATATATATGTATAGATTATATATAGATTTATACATATATAAAAACTCACACTGCACCAAGGAAACCCATGCTTATCGGCATAAGCAACAAAGAGAGCGACAAATACCGCAACGAGGAAAGTGCACCTTAGAACTTGTTTCCTTTTTTTTTTTTTTTTTTACAATGGATATCGATATATAGGTTGTGTCCCAAAGACTCGACTCAGTGCCAAGAGATTTATACATCCTAAATTTATATTTGTTAGAGCAAATATTTAAAAAAAAATTATAAGGGAGGGGGAGACACAGAAGACAGACTCTCGGACTATCCTGCCATCCATTTGAGAGCGCGGGCGGGCGCGCGGGCGGGATGAGCATAGCTAAAGGAGAGGCAGGAGCGAGCGCAGCGGCCGCAGCCTCCGAATTCTTAAGAATTCCCGGCCTTTAGTAGGGCTGGGGGAGCCTTAAAAGAGGGGGTGTGGGCATGAGGACTCGGGTTCTCTCCGAGAACATCTCCATCCGTTGCTCATTTCTCCAAACCCACCCTCCCTCCAAAACAAAACCGAAAACCACCTTGGAGCAAGAAGACCCCAGCAAGGGCGCAGAAAGCACACGGGGCGGAGGGGGCCGGCGGCCCGCGGGGACCCAGCGAGGGTCCCTGTTGGGAGGCCACCCGGCTGGCGGCCCCGCGCCCTACTGCTTCTCAGGGGCACCATTGACCATAGGCCCATACAGGCCGCCGCCGTAGGTCGGCTCCTTGTGCACGGCTGCAGCGGCGGCTGAGCGGTCGCGCATGAGATCGCTGAAGGCGTAGTCCATGGGCGGACGGAAGCCCAGTGTGGGCACCAGGCCCGCCGTGGAGTAGGGCGCCATGAAGGCGAGCCCGCGGCTGTGCGCCGCGGCCGCGGAGTAGGCCAGGCGCAGGGGGCTGAGGCCCAGGGGTGCGCCCAGCGGGTAGGCGCCTGCGTCTGCGCCGAAGTGGCTGGCGTTGGGCTGCAGGGGCGAGAAGGCCGAGCGGCTGCTCAGCGAGCCAAGCGCCCCAGGCGCCATGGCGCCGGCCAGCAAAGGTCTGTGGTGCGGAGGCGCGGCGGGGCCTGCCTGCAGCGGTGCGGGCAGCCCGGGAGCCCCGGCGGCCGCGGCGTCGACGCGGCCAGGCCACGCGTCGTCCGCGGCTGCTACGACACCCACTGCTGCCTTATCCGGGGGTGAGGTGGGGCCGAGGCCGGCTGTCAGGCCTCCGCGGTGGTGGTTCAGCACCTGCTCGATGGCCTGCACCACGTCGCCGCGGCAGCCCTGCAGCACTAGCTCCAAGACACCTCTCCGGTGGCCCGGGAAGACGCGCGTCAAGATGTCCAGCGGCGTCCGCTGCCGTGGACCCGGACCCCCGCCTAGCCCTGGCGCAGGCACAGCCTCTGCCTCTTCTTTGTCAGCCTCCGAACCGGATTCGGAGCCCAGAGGGCTGGCAGAGCCCGGGCTGTCTTCCTCGCCGCCACCTCCTGGGCCAGCGCTACCTGAGCAGCTGCCACCTGCCTCTTTGGAGGCCCGGGCCAAGGGAGACCCCGAAAAGGACTCGCCGTCACCGTTCTCTGAGCCTGAGCCCGGCCGTACCTCCGGGGACGAAGTCCCAGGCCCCGAGTCCGCGCCGTCGGGTGATAAGGGCTTTCCCGGGGGCTGCGGGCTGCAAGGGCGGCCTGCTTGAAGCAGCGTCTTGGGAAACAGGTCAAACTTCTGTAACTTGGCCTCTGGGAAGGGGAGAAAAAGGGATATGAGGGGAGATTAGTGGGGGAGCTAGGGCACCCATGATACTCCAGACCTTTGGGTCCCTGTTTCCTTCCCCTCTGAGTCCCCAAACCCACATTTACTGGACTCCCGAGCCCCGTCTTTCTTTTTGCTCCAACATTCCTTCTCCTCTGAGCCCTGGCAGCATTTCGCCCCCTGCCCCCAGGGTACACTCTCTTTCTGCACCCAGAACTGCTATCACTTGTGCCCTGGAAACCCAGCGTCCAGTGCTCCTCTTCCTACACGTGTGCTCCCAACACCTCCGCCCTTCATCCTCTCCCTAGCCCTGCTCTGTCCTGGAGAACTGGCTTAGCCCAGGGTCAACATAACTTTCACCTTCCCACTCCATCTCTGTGATTCCAAGAGTCAACCCGGTCCCAGATGTCTGTCCTCTGGCCCGGGCAACATAGCTATATGGGAAGACTTCGTGGGCATCTACAAGATCCCGAGATGCTCTCTACAGGCAAAAGGAGAGCGTCTATTTCTAATCCAGTCTTTACAAAATGAAGACCTAAAAAGTCTTCCCCTCCCAATCTGAAAGCGTGGCAGTCCCAAAGGCCCAAGCCTCATTTCCACCCTCTCCAGAAAAAGTCAAGGGAGTCTCGAAGAAGAGGGTGGGGCTGGACAGAGTGTAGACAGGGGTGAGGAAAGGGAATTGGGAAGGGAGGGAGAGAGAGCTAACTCTCGGAAAAAAGGGGGTGAACGGGGTAAGAAGCTAGAAGGGGAGCAGGGCGCAGATGCGGGTGTCATCATAGGCACGAGAAAGGGAATCAAAGGGAGTAAGGAACCAGGGTCTTCAATACCTAGAAAAGCGATCTGGGGCGCAAGAGGGGGCTTGGAGAGCGTGGAATTTCTGAAGCCAGTGGGGAAACAGTGCAGGGAACCTTGGCGTGTGGACAAGTGCACAACGAAGAAGAAAAAAAGATAACAATGGGCAGATTTCCGCGCCGAGGAGAAGGCCTAGGGAAGCGAGCAGCAAAGCTGGGACCGGCCCGAGTTTGGAAGAGCAGAGCAAACATTAAGAGTTTCCAGCTGGGCTTGCGGAGAGAGAAAAAAAATTGCAAATCCTTCAGCAAGGGAAGAAAGGAGCGTTTGTGTTTGATGACCCAAAAGAGGGGCTGAGTGAGCGGTGAACACTTAGCAGTCCAGGCATTTGGAGAGGATCAGACCGAGCCGTGAGACTTGTCCCTAGGTCGCGCGCCCCAGGGCCCGGTTCTGCTGTCCCTCCGCCCCTCCGCCCCCCCCCCAGCCCCCCGCCCCCTCGCCAGGCCGCCTTCCTACCTGAGCTTCCAGCGCCCGCTGCGCCGCCTCCGGTCCCCGCGGGCGTGCCAGCTCCCGGCCCCCCGCCATCCGTGGCGCACACAGAACCGAAGACCTCGTAGGCGGGTCGAGGCGGGATGATGCCGTTGGCGGCTGCTAGCGCCAGGCCCTCGGCGGTGCCGTAGAGCAGCTGCAACTCGCGCGCCTCGTTCTCCTCCTGCGCCTGTTGCCTGCGCAGCGCCACCTGCGCCGCCATGACGCGCTGGCGCTCGGCGATAAGCGTGCACTTGGCGCACAGGCAGTCCTTCCAACGGCAGTACCGTTTGTGGCCCTTGAGCGCCGACACCACGCCGTGGTTGCGGCAGCGCGCGCACTTGGGGGTCCTGGGGTACTTCTCCGCGGCGCGCAACAGCAGCGGCGGCGCCCGCAGCAGGCCTCCCGCCACGCTCACCGGCAGCGAAGCGGCCGCGGCTGCAGCCGCCGCCACCGAGGCCACGGACGCTACGGGCGGCCCAGTCGCTGTCCCGGCCGCCGTGGCCGCGCCGGGCACGCTGGGGAGCTCGGAGCGCAGCTCCATGGCAGGACCTGGCGCGGGAGCCCGCGGGAAGAGGAGGGAAGACTTGCGGTGAGGAGCGCACCGTGCGCTACACTAGAGCGCACCCGCGAGGAACCCAGGCTTAAGAGGGGGAATTTACGGCCGCTGGAGTTTGGCTCGTGGCTGCCAACCTGCTGGCAGGAGAGGTCGTCTGAGCCCCCTCGTAAGGCCGGACCCCCCACCCACTCCCCTCAGAGTCGTCTTCTTCTATCTGATGTATGCGCTTGGTGCAAGGTTTCGTTACCACCAGTGGTTCCGCTGGAAAACATAAAAAGACATAAAATTTGAAAGTCACTATTTAGGTGGATGCAAGGAAGGTTTGAAAAAGAAAATATTAGCACCACCACCCCCAAGTTTTGTTTAATTGGGATGACACGGGTAGAGAAAAATGCTTGCTTGATGGGATTCGGATTAGAAACAAAATTTGGACGCAACGGTCAGGCGGATGCCCAGGGCAAAACAGGAAAACCGCAGGCAAAATGTTCAGTTTTGTTGGAGGGTGAAGAGCAGGCACGCGATATCAAGGCCATGTTTGGCTGGTAGAGTCGGAGATTTTTGGGGGTTTCTTGCTTGCTTGGTTGGGTTTTTGGTTTCTGGTTTTTGGGGGGGTTGGTTTGGTTGTTTTGCTGACGATAGGAGAGTTTGAGAGAAAAATCAGAAAAGGAAAGAATAGCTTTAGGAAGTGGAGTGAGGACTAGGAATCAAACGATTCCGAAGGAGACGTGGGCAGATGGGTCCAGGGACCTGTGGGAATGTGGAGGCGACTACTTCCATGGCGCGGGCCTCCAGAGTGTGGGAAAGAAAAAAAGGGTATTTAGGAGGCCTGGGGAGGACATGAAAAGAGAAAAGGCAACCTAAGAAACTTTTCCCGGCTAGAAACCTATTCCAGAGAATAGCTTGAAGAACAAGGAAAACAGCGCAAAGCAGCTGCTATAGGTGTCTGGGCCCCAAGGTGCACGCGGGAAGAGGATGTGCTTGAGGGAAAAAAAAAAAAAAAAAGGTGGGGGTGGGGATGGAGTAAAATCTGTGGCACAGTCTGTAGCCTCGCGGCCTGGAGGAGTTCCCTGGGACGAACGGGTATCTTGCGCAAAAGCAGGTGTTGCGGGAGGGGGATCCCTTTCGCCGCCCCTCTCACATCGCGTTCCCTGCTCGCGGTTTGGGGGCAGTGTCGTCAGACACGCCCTCCCCGGCCTGGGGGGCCCCCGCAGGACCCCGCTCCGGCGCAGGTTCCCGCGCTCAGGTCTCCAAGCTGGGCTCCTGGTACTAGGTGGCCCCGCAGGCAGCCCCGAGGCGGGGGAGTCGCCCCTGCATTTGGCTCTGAGCGCGCGCGGGAGTCCCACCTGCGCGCCGCCACCCGAGAAGGCCCATCGCAGGCCCAGCTCCAAGCCTCCGCGGAGGCCTCCTCGGGGTCCCCTGATCCCCGCCAGAAACCGGGAACGAATCCTAGTGTCTCCGCCCAGAAATCCTAGACCCCCTCCCAATTCGCAGCCTCTGCTCGCAGGCCCCCGGAGCCGCGCAGTCCCCAAGGCGCGCACGGCCTGCCTGGGTCGAGTCTACAGGGGCCTCGGGCCGGGGCGCCTCCCGGGCCCCCCACCCCACCTGCGGCCCTCAACTACCTGACTTGAACTCGGGATCCTCCTTCTCCGCCGGCGCTGCGCGCGCCTCCCAGCTCCGCTCCCGACGCCGGCGCTCTTGGCCTCTTTCCCCGCGCACCCCCACCCCCCCCCGGCCCCTTATCTGACCACGTCACTCTCCTTCGGTCACCATGTCCGAACTTCCGGACCCCTCAGAACACTGCGCGGTCCAGCCCTTCCGTCGGAAACCGGAGCCGGGGGACCTTTTAGGGACCGGCCGGCTGGAACCCGCGACCCGGCCTTCGCCGCGCCGCGTCCCCTCGCGGAGCGCGCCGGACGCTGCGCACAGCCGGGCCCCAGCTGCCCGGCGCTGCCAGACTCTCAATGAGCCGCTCGCCCGCTCTATTGTTGCTCCTTAGGGCTCCATTAGACAGAATTGGACAACAATGTGGCGCCTGCCATTGGCCAGGGGAGGCAGACGGCGTTCTGATTGGCCGCGCCCGCGCCCGGGGAGCCCCGCGTTCTACAGTGTCCGAAAGATTCGAAACTCCAAAAGCTCCGCCGAGTGCCTCGGAGAGGGGAGGGGCGCGCCGGGGAAGGAGTGGAGAGAAGTGGGCTAGGAGGAGCGTTGAGAATATCGTGACAAGTAGTTTCCGCGCACCCGAGAGCGTGTGAATTGCGCCTATTTACTGTGGCCGGTGCGCCTCTGCGTAAACGTGTGTAACCCCTCGACTTCTTGCGCGCGGGCTCGGCTGCGCGGCTCTCCCCGGCCGGGGGCGCTTGGCAAGGCCGAGCTTCCCAAGTGGCCCTGGAGGCCGGGGCGGGAGGGGGGCAGGTGACAATTCAATTACCGCAGGAGGGGTGGGGGCGGAATGGGGGCGCCGGGGTGGAAGGGAGGGTGCTCGTGGCATCCATTCCAAGACGGGTTTTCCACCTCCTTCCGGCTGGCTTCGGCTTGCTTCCAAGTCCGACGTGTTTGGGGTGGTTGGGTGAAACGGTTCTGGTTTTCCTCCTGACTCCTTTAAAACGCAGGTCCCTTATTTTAAAAGTCCTCGTGAGAGAGGGTCTCAGGGATGGTCAGTGGGGTTTAGGATGGTTTTCGTGTCCAAAGAGGAGAGGGCAGAGGAGCGAGAGCTCACTCTTCCTGACGGCTCCCGCCGCGCCCTTTGCGCTCTGCGCCTTGTCTCTCCCCGCCCCCCTAGTCCCATCCCTCTGCCCCCTCTTGCTCTTTCGCCTCCTTATTTCTCCAGCATCTCGAGTTCTTTTCGTGGTGGTGGTATATTTGCTTCGTCGTCGTTGTTCGAAGTTGACGAGCAGTTTAGTTTTCTTTTTTAAACGAAAGTAAAAAGTGTCCTCCCGGTCGCCCCGCGTCCTCTTGGACCCAGGACGCGCATCCGTCTGTGCGCCCTTCAGGCCAGAGACAAGGTCGCCCGGGACCCCAGGAGTAGTTTTAACTTTCTCCTTACTCTCCCGTCCTGACGTCACGGCCCCAGGAGCTGTTCGGTCTGCAGAAGAGGTAACAGGTTTCAAATTTTGTTTCCCTTTGGAATGGCAACATCTGGAATGAATACTGCCGTCCTCTGGCGCGCGCGTCTTCGGTCTCTCGGTTTCTCTGTGCTTTCTCTGTCTGTCCCCGTGCCCGCGTGCTTTCACCCATTTTTAGTGTCCCCTCTTCTCTCTCTCTGCCTCAGAGTGAGGAAAATTCGTTTAATTAATGAGGAAAAAACAAGCTTTCCCGTCGCTCCCTCTTCCATCCCGACATTGCGTTCCCGCGTTGCTCTTTTGAACCTCCAGGGCCCAGAGCCTCGGGCCCTCACTCTCTGGGGCGCGGACCTACTGGGTGTGCAGACTCGGCCCGGGGCTTGGGCCCTCCTGCCTGGCAGGACTGGTGGGCCGCGCGTTTGCAGCCCAGGCGCCTCTGACACGGGGCTGGAGACAGAGGGTGACAGGCGCCCACCGCGGGGCCCCTCCACGGAGGGCGAATCTCGCAGCCAGGGCGCGCTCTCCTGGAAGAAGCCAGCCCAGGCTGGGACGAGCCGGGGTGTCATGCAAGGGGTGATGTGGAGAAGAGCTGGGAGAACTTCCAGAAAGTTCACCACGCCGGGTTAGGAGTGAGCCCCCATCCTGTCTAGTCTGTGGGAGTGATAGAGACCAGGAGATTCACCCCCAAGGAGTTGCTCCCTCTGGAGCCTGAGAGTGGGCTTGGGAGAAAGGGCCAGCTGCCTGGAGACTCCCATGTGGAGTACAGGAATGCATCTGAGATAATATATCCTGCCAGAGTGTAGCACCCACACCCCAGTTTCCAGCACCTTGAGGGGATGAGTCCAAGGAAATCCCTGTGATAACCACCCTGACAGGGAGTCGGGAGAGGGAGAGGACCGCCACCAGGATTTGCTAGAGGCCACCAGGTAGCCTCTTCTCAGGAACTCCCTTGGACAAAGTTTTTTAGAAATTGTTTTAGACCCTGAATAAAATGAAACACGGAAATGTGCTTCGTTTGAGGGCCCTGCTCCGGGCACCTCTCTTCTAGCCTTTTGGCTGGTGTGTAAGGAAACTCATTTTCTTAGACGTGGGGAGAGATGGCACATCCTGGAACCTAGTCTAGGGGATCTGCTCACTCCTAGAACAGGCAATTTTCTGTCTCCTTCCCTAGTATTAATAGCCCATCAGCTCCAGGACGCACCCGTATGCTATCTCCCAGGTTGGGGTGCTCGTATGAGTGAACGTGTGTGTTATGGAGGGAGGCAGAGTGAGTCATGTCCCAGGTGGAGGTCACCGCCCTCAGCCTCAACAGACCACTCTGGGGCTAGTCCTTTCTGACTTGGAGGGGAACAGTCTGGGGGGGGGTGGCATACACACTGGCTTCACACCTGGAGGACCACCTGCACTTGTGACCTCATTTGCAAACCTTTTGGACACATCTGCAGACCTGCAAGCTGTGACTGCTCCCACGCTGCACCTGTGATGCTGCACTCCCAGGGAAAAGAACTTAAGAAAGTTGTATAGACCTTTCTGGGGCCTCATAAGCATGACTTCATCCTGGGGCATCCGTCTGATGTGAGAACTCACACCCAGATGTCCACAGACTTTCTCAGTGACGGAACACCCAGAGTGCGCATATGCTCCCCAGGGTGTGTACTCACCCAGGCATGTGACTCTGGGCCCTGCAGGCAGCTGGACCCCAGCAGAAAGGGACAGACTTCTGGGACAAATGAGGTGGCAGAGGGCAGAAAAAAGGTCCTCACACAACCACACAGGGACACCTACCCCACGAATTATCTCCTAACTCAGAATCATTAGCTGACGCCTCTGCAGGTGCCATGGGCTCAGGGCGGAAATCCACCTCCGTCCACATCCTCAACGGGTTCCACTCCCCAGCGCCCCCGCCCCGGCAGTGGTGGGGTGCAAAGCGGTGGCTTCGGTGGAGACTCCCGCTTAGGCTGAGGTTGGGGGCTGGGAGCGCCGGGCGTTGGCGCCGAGTAGGAGCGGGGCCGGGGGCGCTGGTGGGGGACCCGCGAGGCATTGACTTTTGCGCTGTTTGCCCGCGGCCTCGGAGCAAGCAGACGCCATCTGTTTGCCGGCTGCGGCGCATCCCGTTTAATTACCCTCCCGGCAGCCTAATAGAGATGATATTAAACTAAATCTTTCTGACATTAAAAGTAATTATCCCCAAACCAGTGACTCCGGGACGGAATCGCCCCTCCCGCCCCACCGCATCCCCTGGCCACGCCAGATTCCGTTAGTTTGGCTGAAACTCTTCACCCGAGAAGGGGATTGGGGGGCGGGGTGGCATCAAGGGGGGGCGCCTTTGGGAGAAAGATTCTACATAGGCCGCCCCATGCACACGGTGTCCTGAACACCCACACACGCTCCTGTAAGCATGCACAACTGCGTGGACACACACACACACACACACCTGTACACACAGAGACACACAACGACACATTTTCCTGCGGCTCAGCTCACGAGCCACGTTAATTAAGACTCGAGCGCGTGCACCCCGACGTGGACAGGAAGAAGCGCTGCCTAGTTTGCTCTCCCCGGTCCGGACCCCGCTAAAATAGAGCTTTTTTTTTTATTTTTGACGTGGCTAAAGTCATGGATCAGACCTAGGCCAGGGCCAGGGATCTGGGCACAGTTTTGGAGCCAGACAGCACCTCTCCCTTCGTGGCGCCTGATGCCTCGGGCGCTCACCCTGGGTGGGGCCTGTGCCTCGCGCTTCCCCTGCAGCGTTTTTTAAATCGCACCACCCTCTCCAAGGCACGTCCTATGATCCCACTTGACCAGTGAGAAAACAGACTCAGAGAGGCTGGGTGACTTGTCTCACAGCTCACGACGAGCCTGGGACAGAGCAGAATTCGAACCCAGGCGTGGCAGGGAGGCCCCCCCCAGGTCTGGAGCGCTGCAAACTTAGGGGTGCGGGTTCCGGCTGCGCGCGGCGGGCGGGTGTCTGACCCGCGGCCCCTCTCCGCAGCCTCGGGCCGGGCTCAGCCTCTTCCCCGGCCCTCAGCCCGCCAGCGGAGGCGGGGGGCAGAGAAGCCCGCTGCAGGCGGGCGAGCAGGGGCGCCCGCGCTGGGAGCGCTGCGCAAACCCCGAAGCACGCGTTCGGATCGCGCGTGGGTGTCCGCTGGGCGCGCGCGGGGGAGGCAGCCGCCGGTGTGGCCAGCCTTTCCGTCTTTTGCAAACCCTTCTGGTGGATGGCACCTGAACCTGGGGCAAACGCACAGAGAGAGGTGTTTATCGTCCAACTCGTTCGCGAGCACCCACGGGTGCAGCCACTCTGCTCAGCGCAGCGCGTGGGCTGCCGCGCTCCGTGCGCTCTTGGAGGCAGGTGTGGCGCGCCACGGTTCCAGGACGCGGCCGCGTTCTGCAGGGCCAGGTAACTTGGCCCGGGCCACAGAGCTGCTGAGCCTGCAGGAAGAAAGGAAACCAGATCTGACTTCCACTTTCTTCTCACCTTCAGGGCTGGTACGAGCAGACCTAACGCTTTTCCGTCGTTTCGATTTCATTCCATTCACCGATCTTTCCCAGAAACTCCAGAGAACGGGTCAGTTCATTTATTCGTTCATTTCATTCGTATTGAGCACTTAATTTGTGCCAGCGACTGAGGAT